AAGAAGCGGACCCCCGCCGACCACGAACGGAAACGGAAGAGGCGGCAGCGACCCACCCCCGCCCGCGACAGCGGACGGCACAAGGGCGACGGCGACGAAGCGGGGAACGAGGAAGCAGAGCAGGAGCAAAAGAAAGCGAGCGCGAGGGGCAAGCGGGCAGCGGGAAAAAAGACGCGGAGAACTCCGGCGCAGAGGGCGCCCCCGCAGCCACAGGCGCGGCAGCGAAGAAGGGGGACCGCGAAAAGGTGGGGGGGGGGGGGGTGCATCATCGCACAATCGCTGGTTGCTGGTCGCTTTGGTTGCTTGCTCTGGGCGGGCGTACCTGGTAGTGGGAAATACGGGAGTGACGCATTCGGGGCCTGCCAACGGGCGATTGGCCGACGCTCCAGGTCACAGGGCTTCCTTATGCCAGCCACGGGTGCGCAGTACCAAGGAGGACTGCAGGAATAGTAACAGCGATGGTGATGGCGATGGTGATAGTCACCACCCCTCAGCCGTGCCAAAACCTCGACCCCTCGCTCACTTTACTATTGCTCTTACGGTGCACGGTACCGGTAATAGTGCGGCTGCCAATGAAAAGAATCGAAAATCCTCACGTGCAAGTGAGAGAGACGGGACCACCAGCCGGGTGCGGGAACAAATCAGCAGGATTTGCTATGACAGAGAATAGAGTAGAAGAGGCGCCAATGGACAGCAAGGTTCCGCAAGGTTCCATACTATGTAGGCTGTAGGTAGAGTAGTAGAGTAGAGTAGTAACGTAGGTACATACAGTACCATAGGCTGTAGTCTGGAGGGGCTGCCTCGATCCCCTCAAAACCTCACTATGTAGAGTATAGTACACATGTACATTGTACTAGCAGCGTACACACAGTAGTAGTAGAAACTCGAGCGACTCCACCCACCACACCACCAAACCTCCATTCTACTGCACCCAACACGCGTCCCGGCTCCATTGTTTGTTTCTCCCAGCTAGCTAGCTAACCGACCTGCAAGGATCTACGTCTCTGCAATGCTGAGCTCACGCATCGCCCGTGGTTCGTGGTTCGTGTTTGCATGTCAACTGCTTGCAGTTACCGATGCATGTGCTATTCATTCCGTGGGGGTTGCGGGGTGGAGTGGGGGTGGTATTACTGATAGGAGTGGGGGTCTCGTTTGCATGGACTCGTTCACGGCCAGAATATGCAAAGGCATGGAGAAGCACTGACTGTAGGCTTGATGCTCATAGTTCATGTATTTGCCTATCCATGCTGAGTGTATGTGAATTCCTGTCTATCTTGTCCACTTTCCTTCTTTCCTTCTTTCCTTTGGTGCTGGCTTAGCCGAACAGTGGAGCCAGGTTCCATCAGCGTCACATGAAAATGCCCGAGAATTCTCCCATAATGTCGCGTGACTGGCGAAATGAAGGATCGATATAGATCTCTTTGTCAGACTCACGTCTTCACGATGAGTGGCCCGAGTCTCCTTTTGAGCTCGAATCGGCCTTGTATTACGTGGTAGGATGATTTGTTCCCTGGACAGTCATCAATCACCGTCTTCCTCCTCCTTCTCTGCGGCTTCCTTCTCCGCTTGCTTCTTATCTTCATACTTTCGCTTCTTGTCCAGCAGCTTTTGAAGATTCTTCGCGCCATTAAACACCCCATACGTCTTTGCATTGCACGCCGCACATGTCGGATCCTTTCGATATCTCTTCAATGCGCAGGCCTCACAGAAATAATGCCCACACTTGGTGATGATCGGGCTTTTGTACGATTGTTTGCATAGGATGCAAACAAATGGTATCTTCTCCAACAGTGCATAGTCGACACCATCATCGTCCTTTTCCTTCTCGTCCCTGTTCGCTGAGGCGACGACGGTGCCCCCAGGCTTCTTGCCCTTGGTCGACATCTCCCACTCTTTATCTAGCTTCCAGCCTGCAGCGTAGTCCTCACGCGCATGCAGGAACTTGCAGTTATCGCCGAAACCACAAAATCCCGTCTGTTTGTAGTCCTTGCACACATCGGGTGTGTAGTCTGTGACTGTGATGGTCCGCACGTTGGTCGAGGACTTTTGGGGGCCCACTTTGCGATTCGGCGCATCAGGATTCTTCTGGATGAACGTTTGCGGTTTTGCGCTGAGCCGTGAGCTTCCGAGGAGATTTTTCGAGCTGAGGGCTTCGTCTGCATTCTCGTCGTACCAATTCGACTGGCGCGTGGCGTCATCGCTTGCTTGTATGACCGCAGAACTGTTGGCTTCGTATGTTGTCGTGCCTTCTACTGCCGTGTTTGCCCTTTGATCTACCGTGGAGGCTTTCAAGGCATTCCCATTTGTCTTTCTGCGCTTCACCACGCGACCGTCCTCGCCCTCTGCGTCTGATCCAGAGGAAGCGTCCGAGTCTGATTGTGGCGGCGGTGGCGCAATCTTTCGAGGCGCAGCTTTGGCGTTCCTTTTTTTGAATTTGACTACCGGCGCTTCCATGATGTGTGATTTGTGATGGGCAAGGTGTGGAGAAGGAGACTGTGCAGCAAGTGGTATTGAAAGCCGGAACTTGGGCGTGGAAAGTCGGGGCCAAGTCGTGGCTGAGCAAGCAGACTGTCCCGCCGGAATGACGGAGAAGTGGCGCAAACAGCCACTCGCCGAACACCGTTGACCTTTGATGAATGATGGATCGATTCGAGCTGACGTCTAATTGGCCTCCTGTATTACGAAGCAGTGAACCGATCCGAGCGATCGGCGGCCGTTTTACTGCCTGCACCGCACAATACTCCCTACCGTACTGTTCACTCCCCACCCTCTAGAGTACGATGCAGTTTGACACGACCTGAGCCTAGTAGGAAGGGGGAAGGAGACGACCGTATGTGTTAGGTACCAGGGATTGTTCGTCATGACGCCAATGACCAGAGCGAGCCCAAGAGAGGTCACCTCACGCTTCCTGGGCGCCTCGTAGCAGATTCGACAAGACAAGATGAAAAAGCAGTCGTGTAGGGGGAGTAAGAGTTGTGCGCTTGAGCCTCGTGCGCCGTCGGCTTCTGCCGTACTCTATACCTGCGGTCTGTGGTACTATGTAGGTACACAGTACTCGTGTCCTTCTGGCGGCTGGCCCCGTGTTTGTCGCCCCTGTTCCAGTTGGTCGTGTACTGCGCTAGAGTGGAATTCATGCATGCCACGTTTGTTTTGTTGTTGTGTGTGTTGTGTGTGTTTTCGCAAATAGTGGTCCAATCGCGTACACAAACAGCCTTCTGCGGTCTAGCAGAAGGAGGGGCTCTCATGCGCACGTTGCTTCACTCGGTCGCCCTCCTGCTAACAGGCAGAAGAGTACCTTGCCTTAAGGCTTAGTCGACGAGGAAGCTTGCGTCTGCGTGCATGAGAGTGTCCACTGCCAGCCAATTGTCGGTCTACTTCTGTGTCTGTGTTGATGTTTGCCAGGAGCGCTCTCTCCAGGGCTGCCTTTGGCTTGAAAAGAAGAAGCGCAGTGCACGGACTGGTCATTTCGCTCCCAGTCCGTACTTGAGGTAGATGAACACCATCGCCCGCGCTGTTGTCATCAACTCCTCACCCAGTCCTGCCCGTTCGGCCTTTCCTTTCCTTCCCTTTCCCACTTCTTCTCCGTAGGCGCTGCTCGGCGGTGCGCCTCCGTCCTTGTCCTCGTCCTTGTCCTTTGCCTTTGCCCTTGCCCTTGCCCTTGCCCTCGCCTTCGTCAGACGGCTCGTGTGGGACAGAAACGCGACACAAGTGCCAGCAGCCGCTGCCCGTGTTCCCAGCACCTTCTCGCGCCTCGCCCTCGGCCAGAGTCTTTTCCACTTCCTTTCTCTTTTGTCGTCCATTCGGTTCCCAAGTGGCCCGGGTGAAACGTAAAATCGCTCTCCTTCCTTATTTCTCATACATACGCTCGACACCTCCACGCCCCCGTTGGCGCGCTCCATACTTGTCGTTTGGAACCCCCCCCCCCGCCCCACCCGTGCACCAGCCCTTCTACCACCTAATACACGCACGCGCCTCATCCCCTCCAGGAAGTGACTCTTTTATACTTGGGATATGGAACGCTAGCCATAGACCGGACTCACAATCATGGCGTCAGCGCACCTCCAGCCGGGCGCGCTGGCGGTGGAAGGCCACCATGGCAACGATCCCTTCACCAACAGAGCGCAGGATGGCCAAAGGCAGCGATACTCCGCTTTTGATAATTCGCAGTTCTCCCTGTACCTCAACGGCTCCCCTATGCAAGCGAAACGAGCCCTGGAAGCACATTTGGCCGAGACAACACGTAGGCTGCAAGAGACATCACACCTAGGCAATGCGCTTTTGCAACAGCGAACAGAGCTCGAGAGCAGATTAGAAGAGGTGGAGCAGCAGGAACAGGAGGATGACATTGGGCCAGAGCTGCGCCAGAGGCTAGCGGAGCTCGAGAAGGAATTCAATGAAGTGGGAAGAGAAACGGCTCGCGCTTTCCTCCCAAGGTCCCGCGTCCCAAGTGGTGAGACCGACATCACCGGTGGCGGTTCAGTCTACTCCAGTGAAGCCCAAAACTCGCCCACTAAAGTCAGCGTCCCCTCCCGGAAGCAGCGTAATCAACAACCTAGCCGCATCAACGACATCGCTCTTGCTACTGAAATATCCACGTCCCTGTTGTCTCAGCTGAAGGAGCTACAGGCTGTTCTTCTCGAGAAAGAGGAAACGCTCAAAGCCATAGACCTAGACAGATCGCAGCTGGAAATTGAAGTCGAGGGCCTCTCTCAACGGTTACGCACCTTGGACGAGAGCGAATCGCGCCTCAAAGATGTCAACTGGAATTTGGAGACGCAGGTTCGCGAAGTAGAGGCACAAGCCAAATCAGCAGCGGACAGGGAACATCGATTGAACCACGCGTTGAATCTGGCACGATCTGAAAACTCAACGCTTGAACGCGAATTGGAGGAGCTCAAGCAGATGCACACCAAGCTGGCCGACGACCATGTCAACAAGATCAGACAGCATGAGACCGAGCTGTCCAGTCTCCGTAGGAACGTCGCCATGGGAGAAGTGGAGCGAGGTGCTATGCAGCGCAAGGTCGAAGAGCTCACAGCCCAAAATCAGGATCTAGCCCGGGCTGTGGCATACCGCATGAAGGGCGAAGACCATGTGAAAGTTGAAGATACCTCAGCAGATGATGGCGGAGAAGAAGGCATCACTCATACTCCAGAGCACACCCCTCCAGTGTCGCCCAGCAAAGCTACCCCGCGACATGGAATGCTTGAATCGGAGACTCTCAAACACTCGCTTCAACATGCTCATCGTATGATTCAGCAGCTCAAGAACAATATTCACCGCGAGAAAACCGAGAAGGTCGAACTAAAGCGTATGCTCCAAGACGCTCGAGACGAGCTTGAGAAGGATCGCGCTCTGAATGTACCGACTAGTGCAGGTCGGCGCAGGAAGAATGAGAGCATTGCCTTTAAGAAACCTCCTCGTCCCGACCGTCTTGGGGCACTTCGAGGTACTCAGGAAGTCGTCATCGATGAAGATGAATGGGAAGAGCAGGACGATGAAGTCAGCACGCCCAGTCGTCAACCCAAGTCTTTCAATCCTACACCTCGGGCAGTCTCAAGTGGCTTCAGCTCAGCTACCGAAACAAGTGCAAACGAAGGGTTTGAGACTGCGAATGACACCTCGGATGCTGCCTTTGAGACTGCCAACGAACGTGATGGCACAACCACAGAGACAGATGCTTTCCAGACGGGAGCCGAGACTCTTGATGGCGACAGTAGTGACGACTTGACCGAGACTGAGGCCGGTGCGCGGTCGGTACCACGCAGCAACCGATCCTTCCCAGCCAGACACAGCCATCACGACTCGTACGAAAGTACAGCCTCCAACTCGGGTGATGAGTACGAGAACACGGAGCTTCGAACACCACTCAATCATCAACATTCGCGCCTTAGACTCAGGAGCAGACCAGGCAGCTCACGAGCCTCAACGCCGAGAGGGGCATTGGATCTGTTCACTCGGACTCCGTCTGTTGCAAGGGATTCCCCGGCCAGCATAAGCAATAGTAATCGGAGCACTCCTGCCCAAGGCAAGAGTCTTTTTGCCGAACTCGAAGATCTTAGTGGGGATGATGATGAGGGCAGCTATATTGAAGGCACACCGAGCCGATCGAGTGTGCTCCCATCTCGCGAATCCTCGCCTGACGCACTTGGGAAGGCGATCTACGAGAAATCGCCCCTTGTTTTCCATCCACCTAGGCCGATGATGGTGGACTCGGGCACAATGACCGAGGCCAGCATTCCAACTCACATGGTCATATCTTCTGTCGTGAGCCACCAAGTAGAACCGCAGGCCCCGCTGCCCCCAAAACTGCAAGTGTCGTCTTGCTCTGCTCATGAGACTTCACCCCGAACTCCGTTGCCGTCAAGACTGGGATTCTCCTCCCTCGCTGCTCAGGATACAGTTCCCAAGAGTGTTGCTGTGCCAGTGTTTCAACTTTCAAGCGTCACCGGACATGCAACGACACCACAACCGGCGCCTGTGCCCCCTCTCAGCCTCTCGTCATTGTCTACCCATGATACAGCGCCACAACTTGCTGTGGCACCCAAATCAGACTTTTCAACGTTGTACAGCCAAGATACAGCACCGCAACTCGCCGTGCCACCCAAGTCGAATTTCTCGACACTGTCTAGCCAAGACACAGTGCCTCTTACTCCGACTGCCCACGTGTTGGATCTCTCAGCGGTATTAGCTCATGGAACTGAACCACGCCACATGGCAAGCCCATCTCTAGGGTTATCTCCTTTCTCCACGCACGATACCGAGCCTATCGTGCCAACTGTGCAGAAGTCTTTACCTTCCGCCTTGGATGTGTCAACCATCACGCACCAAGCCACTGAACCTAAAGAGGGTATAGCCATTAGAACGGCAGTTCCTGCTGCGTTGCTATCATCTGCTGTTGAGCCCAGCCCAACCACAGAGACGACAAGGACACTCGAGGATGAGTCTATTCCAGATTCCAGTGAGCCTGCCCACTCGCTCAACACACCGCGAATTCCCCTGCAGTTGTCTACATTGTCGGTTCATGCCACCGAGCCCAAGAATATTGCTCGTGTACCTTTCTCTATAAGCACAGTAGCATCTTCACAAGCAACTGAGCCACTTGTAGTCAAGCCTGCGGTTTCACGGTTGTCCACGATGTCCTCTCAGGCCACGGAGCCAGCCGTACCAACTCGGGTCATTTCGCAGATCTCCAAGATGACCTCTCAAGCTACGGAGCCTGTTGTACCACAACTTCCGCGCTTACAGTTTTCCTCTCTGTCATCCTGGTCGACAGAGCCTATGGAAGCACCAAAGCCGTCACCACCGGCGCTGTCTACGATTTACTATCAGGACTCAAAGCCTAGGGAGCCAACTCGACCAGCGCCACCGAAATTCTCAATGTTATCATCCCAAGCCACGCAACCAATCGAGCCTCCACGAGCGCCTCCGGCACAAATTTCGACAACATTTTGGCAGGAGACCGAACCTCGCCAGCCGGTGCAGCGCACATTGCCGGAGCTGTCTGGTATCAGCGTGCAGGTTACTGAACCTGTTGCATCAGTCGCTCCAGAGCGACTTCGACAGCAATTTTCTAATGTTCGAACTGTACAAGACACCCAGCCAGAATCTCCGACACTCCCAGCGTTCCTCCCTACTCCGACAAGTCGACCATCTACATCGCATCACATCCAGACGCCCACTTTGACGATGTCTCCTGTCATAAGTCAGGTAGTGGAACCAGTACTACTACCTTCGAGGCCTGGTACTGCACATCGAGCAACTCCACTGTCCCTCGGCACCTTGAAATCTGTCCAAACACATGGGACAGAGAGTAAATCATCGGCCGAGCCAGCTACACCATCGCCTAGGGATCGAGAACCTCGTCAGCCACTCACACCAATCGACCTGAACGCATTCCCCAAGGTTCCTAGAAAGCTCATGTCCGATGGGGGTACACAGACTATGGTGTCGGCAGAGCAGATAGACAAGTTATTGTTGGCCCGGAACCCTAGATGGAGCAGTGCGATTGCTTCAGCTGCTGTTGAGAAGTCGTTGTCACCCCCAAGTTCACCAATTAGGAGAAACTCAAACGAACCAGGCCGGACTTCGAGACGACCTGGCAGTGCTGGAAGTGTTCGTTCACGGGCCGCCTCTCCACCTCCTCTTCCGTCGGATCACAAAGAAGTCATTGCTGCAGCCGCTCAGAAGCTATCTCCTCCTACACCAGGATCGATGGGTCCACCTGCCATGCCTGCGTCGGCTTACAAGAGACGTCCGCAAACACCTTCTGTTAAGTCCAATAGTCTTGCACCGTCGCCTAGAACCAATGGCACGACCCCACGAGCACATCGTCTCTCTCAGCGCGGTGATGCCCGAAGCGGAGCGTCCTCTCCACTCAGCCGCCGATCGTCGCTGTCGTCGTTCACGTCCGAGCTTGACCAGCGTTTCAATATTCCTGGTGGTCCGACCTTCGTGCAGACTGGAACTTCAGCTGGTGCAACTGATCCTGATCAGATACAGGGCATCACCCAAACGATGATTGGCGAGTATCTTTGGAAGTACACACGCAGAACGGGTCGTGGTGGTATGTCTGAAAACCGTCATCGACGGTTCTTTTGGCTACACCCTTACACAAGAACTCTTTACTGGAGCGATCAAGATCCACAAAGCGCTGGCAAAACGGAATTGAAGGCCAAGAGTGTGGCTGTTGTGTCTGTGCAGGAAGTCGAGGACACGAACCCTCTGCCTCCTGGGCTTCATCAAATGAGTCTAATTGTCGCAACTCCTGGCCGGTCCATAAAATTCACAGCTCCCACGGCCAGGCGGCACACGACATGGTTTCAAGCGCTAGAATATCTTTGCAAACGTGTCGATGAGACTACAGATACACCCGAGCAACAAGAACGGCAGCAGAACGGACTTCAACCGGGATCACCCGAGGTTGATGAGATTCAAGACGAGTTCAATGGCGGTTATCGAAGCACGTCGCGGATGACAGGTCGCTCGAGGGCTTCTGTGTCTTCACATAACACCAGGCGGACTGTCTCCCCCCATTACACAGAAACTCCAACACTTAGAGCGTCTGCAGCGACTCCTCATCGCATGTCATCTACGGAGGCTCTGCAGAACTCGGTCAGTAAAAGAATACCCACCTTCCTTCGCCCGGGGTCTACGTTGCGAGTGTCCTATGCCAGCCGGGTCAGCGTGCAAGATTCGATCACACCGGAAGAACCCACGGGTTCCAATTTGGATCTCAGTCGTGAGATCCATGAGCACCTGCACGAGCGAGAGATTGATGGCATGCCCAATGTTCGGGCATGTTGTGGCGGTAAGTATTACTCGGCATGCCATGTTTACACAAGCTGACGAAAGAAGGACAACATGACGTTGCTCACCTCCACAAAGATTCGGTTCAAAATCGGCACAATCACAAGACTGTGAACCCACGGCCGTCTGTCATAGGATCCATGAGTTCACGCATCAGCTCTCGAGCCGAATCTCGCAACGAGCCTCGCAGCATCTCCCGCAACGAACCGCGGTCAACCTCTCGCACATCTTCCCGCGTCGAATCGCATGCTGAGGCGCGCAACGATCGTATTCGTCATCAGACTGAAATGGAATCGGCCAACTTTGGAGCTGGTGCATGACCTTCCTCCCAAACCTACACTCATTCCTTTCCCTATTTTCATGTTCGTCTTGAAGACGCCCACCTCATAGTCTATCAAATTGACTAATCATGTTCTCTCTTTAGCGTTAAACTCATCTCCTGGGGTCCGATCCCTTTTTCCTTTGTACATCACTGTCGATCTTGCGGTCTTTGGGCATTTCCTCTCTGGTTGGGTACGGTTTAAGCCACTGATAAAGTCCCACTGGGACATCAAACAAATTTGGACATGGCGTTCAACGGCCAGACAGCGTTTGACTGAAATCTGCAGCAAACTTGAATGGGGTTGGTGCTGGTACACTGAGACGGCCGCCTGGTGACGATTCTATCTTTCGAGTCTCGCGCAACTTTGATGCGGGTTCTTCCCAACATACAACATTGTCGCATACAGTATCAATTCTTGTCTGTTTTTCTGCTCGGCATTCCCTGTTTATATTACTAGGAGTTTCGCTATACATATGTAATGTGTTAGAACTTCGCCTTGACGATTGGGGGTCAGACTGATAGAAAGACGTCGAATACAAACATCCAAATTGCAAATGAGCGTTATAGAGAATGTGACGTTTGATTGGCTAGACTTAGCATAAGCATCATGCGAACTCATCTCCAGACAGGCCAGAAATAGCCAGGTAGGATCTTAGCCTGGAATCTGCCAAGATTCATGGGAAGGTTTCTGCCGTGCTTTACCGCTAGCAGCTGCTCGAAACACCAAACTTTCGCTCACAGTCGACGCGTTATCACTTCCACCCAAGCAACATCCAACAAACACCATTTGTCGCCAGTCGCGCCTTCCTTTCGAATCCTAATCTTTCATTCTGCGACTGCGGGCAGCTCTTTATTTGTTCATATCAGACACTCGCAGGGCGCGACACCCTTAATCAAAGACCCAGAAGAGGAGCGCATCCACATCCACAACACCACACCATCAGCGCATCACCTACAACTCACATCACGCAAGTCGCCCTCTAAACCCTCACCCACATCCTCTTAATCAACCCCAACACACAACCGCAAACATGGCGCGCAACTCTGAAAAAGCGCACTCGATGCTCTTCCGCTTCCGCGCCGCGCAAGCCGCCGAAGCCGGTATCATCGACATCTCACGAACCCGACGGCCGAAAATGATAACACAGGTCACGTCGATTCCTGTATGCGAGAAATGGCGCGGCCAAGTGCTCAAGGAGATATCGCGCAAGGTGACCAAGATCCAAGACGAAGCCCTGTCCGACTACCAAATCCGCGACCTCAACGACGAAATCAACAAACTGATGCGCGAAAAACACATGTGGGAGAGTCAGATACGCAATTTGGGTGGGCCGAATTACATGCGTGGCGGCAGGGTGCTGGATGAGGAGGGCAGAGAGGTACCGGGGGGTGGCAAGGGGTATCGGTATTTTGGCCGCGCAAAGGAATTACCCGGTGTCAAGGAGTTGTTTGAGCGGCAGGCGCGGCCAGAGGATGACATGGACAAGGGGAGGGAGAAGAGGAGTGAGTTGCGGCAGAAGGTGGACGCGGGTTACTATGGCTACAATCTCGATGAGGAGGATGGCACGTTGCTTGCGTATGAAAAGGAGAAGGAACAGGCGGCTTGGAACGAGTTCATGGCGTTGCCAGATGACTTGGGCGACAAGCCGAGTAAGACCCAGAAGGAGTGGATGGAGCTGCCAGGCGACGAAGGGGATGGGGCCAGGTGGAAGGTACCCACGCTAGACGAGGTCAATCAAGAACTGGTCGAAAGGAGGAGAAGGAAGTTGCTCGAGAAACTGGGATGAATGAATTGCCAGATTAATTCCTCTTTTCCAGTGACAGCAGTCTTCATTCGCTGTTTGCCTGCTTACACTGTAGCAATGAAGCATTTCATTCTCTGCGTGTGAAAATGGAATAGGCTGGATGTGTAGAAGGAGATTGATACCCTTTGTTTACACAATCGACCCCTGCGTAGCAGTGGAATCTTGTACATTTTGTGTATTGAGCGGATAAAGAGAAGAGCCTTGAGAAGATGTACAAGTATAATGTCCAATTGACAAAAAAAGTAAACGCCTTGAACCTTGAATCATTGAAAGAGCGCTTTGTATTAGACTTCGAGTGGGTTCAGCTTTCCCACCCGCGCAACCTAGCTCATCTGTCTCTCTGCACCGCAGCCAGCTATGCTATGTTGATGAACTGGAAATAGCGCTTGAATGTCTTGAGATTCAGGGCCACTTTTAGACTCTTGTTCGCCTTGCAAGAAGTTGGCGTCGTTGTACTCTCATATCCTACTAGCTCGCTCTGCACCCAGTTTTGTGATCCATTGCGCCATGCATACCCATATCATATCACTGCTCAAGTCGTAAACAGCGTGTCTTCCTCTCTCAGATACTCGCCGATATCTGCCTGTCTGAACGTGACAACACCCGTCGGATCCAACTTCCTCGCTTCTGCCGTACTCCTCGCGCTGACACCAAAGCCCTGCAATGATTCACACATTAGCCCCCAAAATCTCCAACTGTTTCTCACGTCCCACGCATGCTCGGAATAGAATGCCCAGCACTTACCAACGGCGTATCATTCATGCTCAAAACCACAACTCCCTGATGTTCAGGACAGTCTTCACTCCAGCGGCCCACATGCGCCTTGAGTACGTTTCCGCCGTACAGAAAAGGCATCTCGCCGTTCTGCTTGACCCACACCTTGTAGCGCGCGTGCGGTGCGACGACGCTCAGCGCTGTGATGTGGAGCCGGAATTTCCCCGTCTTGGTGAACTTGCCGAGGCAGATGCCGAGACTGAGCAGGTTGTCGCGCGCGACTGAGGTGGCGAGGTTGGCAAGAGATTCGCGGACGTAGTAGACGCGGGAGCCCTGGGGTGGTGGAGGTTAGTAGGGTTGGTTTTTTGGGGGGTTGAAGGTTTGGGGGAGTTGTGTGGGTTAGATATAGATAGAGATTTGGACTTGAGAACGATTGGAGAGTAGTATATGGAAGAGAGTTGCTCATAGTTCATAGGGTGGAAGAGGGAAAGTGAATATGGGAGTGGAATTACCTGTATGCGGAAAACATTTCGGTCTGAGCCGCCAGCTGGGTCGGCAATGAGGTTTGCAATGCCTTTTCCGCAGTAGGTCGCGAGTTTCTCGAAGAGAGTTTTCGTTTCAGGTTCTGTGAGGGGTCTCATTTTGAAGTGTGCTGTGTCGAACGAATGCGATATGGAAGATTGCGCTGCTGCACAGTGCAGTCGCAAGTCTGCAAGTTACAAGGTCTAGAAAAATAAGTGGGGCGTGGGCGGTGAGAGGAGAGATAACTTTATCTGCCGGACCTCCGCCAAAATTTCCCAACTGCAAGCGCGAAACTTTGTTGCACATATGCTTGTGACTTTTACTTCTTCCAACACACACATATTACTTTTTTGACGACATGTCGCGCGTCCCGGCTGCGAAGAGGAGAAGGCTATCTCCACCTGAAGATGCTGCGCGAACGAATAGTGCGACCGAGGACCATAAGACTACGTTTTTGAAGAATGCGGCGAAATGGGATCTCGAGCAGGACTATGAAACGAGACCACGCAAACTGAACAAGAAGAAGGAAACGAAGAAGCTTCCCGTCAGGACCACTGAGGGATGGGTTGCGCCGCCGCCGAATGCGCACGATTTGAAGGAAGAAGAGTCGGACAGCTTTCTTGGGTCTGGAAGTGAAGGCGAGGAGGAAGAGGCGCAGTCTGGGGAGGAAGATGTCGAGGAGCAAAAACCCAAAATACCCGCACGACAACAGATCCTCGAGGCCAAAGAAGAATTGGCACGAATTGCCAGCCTGGTCAACGAAGACCCGGAAGAACACATCCATGCCTTGAAGACACTCGAGGCCATTGCCAATTCTGAGAATATCACAGTGAAGAAGCTGGCGCTAGCTACCCAAGTAGCCATCTATAAGGATTTGATTCCAGGTTATAGGATACGGCCGCTTTCCGAGGAAAAGATGCAGGAGAAGATCTCCAAGGAAGTAAAAAAACTGCGCCAATTCGAACAGAAGCTCGTGTCAGGTTATGAGGCATATGTCAAGCACTTGGCCAAGCTGGCGAAATCGAGTGGGTCAAACAATGAGCAGGCTGCAGGACTGGCTTCAGTGGCTGTGACCTGTGCCTGCAATTTGCTCAATGCTGTACCGCATTTCAACTTTCGCGGAGAGTTGCTAAAAATATTGATTGGGAAGCTGAGCACGAGACGTGTGGATGCAGACTTTGTGAAATGCCGGGAAGCGTTGGAGACGTTGTTTGCGACGGACGAGGACGGTGTAGCAGCACTGGAGGCAGTCACTATGCTGACTAAGATGATGAAGAGCCGGAACTACCACTTCGATGAGAGCGTTCTCAACACTTTCTTGCATCTGCGTTTGCTGTCCGAGTTTGCACAAAAGGCATCCTATCATTCGGTTGATAAGAAGCAAGAGCTCGAGGTCCATGGCAAGAAGGGCAAACAAAAGCGCGAGTTTCGGACTAAGCGACTCCGTAAAGAACTGAAGGAGAAGAAGGCCATCGAAAAGGAGTTCAAAGAGGCCGATGCAGCCGTCAGTCATGAGGAGCGCGACAGGATGCAAGCTGAGACGCTGAAAATGGTCTTTGTCGCCTACTTTCGCATACTCAAAGCTCGTGAACCGAAGCTCATGGGTGCTGTCCTCGAAGGTCTAGCACGTTACGCCCACCTTATCAACCAAGACTTCTTCGGCGACATTCTCGAGGCCCTGCGCGACATCATCGCCACTGCCGAACTCTCCGCAGCCGCCAATGTGGAAGAAGATGAAGACGCTTCAGGAGATGAATCCGACGATGACAACGAAGCCCCTGAGCGCAATCTCACGCGCGAATCTCTCCTCTGCGTCATCACCGCCTTCGCGCTGCTCGAAGGCCAGGACGGCGCAAAGACGGCTTCAGCACTCAAACTTGACCTCAGTTACTTCATCACACATCTTTATCGGACACTCCATCCTGTTGCCCTGAACCCAGACATTGAGCTTTCGTCCAAGTCTTTACATCTCGCTGATCCGGGCTCGGAAACTTCGCACGCGGACACGGCTAAGGTCAACGTCCAAACCACCATCGTCCTGCTCATCCGCTCTCTCTCCTCCGTTCTCCTACCTGCAAGTTCCATCCGTGCCGTCCCGCCCCTGCGTGTCGCAGCATTTCTCAAACAATTGATGACTGTCTCTCTGCACTTACCAGAGAAGTCTTGCACGGCCATGTTGGGTTTGCTCAACCGAATCACAAAGACGCATGGTAAAAAGGTAGCGCCGCTGTTCAATACCGAGGAAAGGAGAGGAGATGGTGTGTTTGATTCGCTGAAGACGGAGATTGAGGGGAGCAATCCGTTTGCGGGGACCGTCTGGGAGGGGGAGATATTGAGGCGGCATTTTTGTCCGGGGGTGAGGGAGGCGATGGGTGGGATTGAACGGAATGTGATGGAGGCTGCTAAGTAGAGTTTTTGAGATTGGAAGTGTAGGGGAGTGGTAGATTTGTGGACATGCGTAAAAGAACGCGATTGTCCATGTCCATAGGACGTATTGATAGCATGTGAGATGAAAATGACTATAACACCGAACACTTGTGACTGCATCATCCGTGACTGCTCTGGTACCATCCATGCTTTTCACGATGCATGCTAACATTCCGCCTACCCAGTGATGAAAAACGAAGGGCAGGGCATCGCACAAGTTCTAACAGATAGATAGATACTGCGGGTGGTCATAGATCGATGCCATCTTCGCCGTAAATACTCTACATGGGCGGATACTTAACACACAGTAACATCACAGTCCAATCAGCATCCGAAGATCGCCTGATCGGCACGCGGAAGCCATCTCCGCACGTAGCGCATGGGCCATTTGAGAGCTTTCATGCCGAGGGAGAACTAGCGTGGCAGTTCCTGACGCGTGTAAACTTCGCCAAAGCCTGACGTTTGCAGTTCGACCAAAGCCCCGGCCTGTTGCTTGACTCCCCCAACGCGAGGACTCTCACTCTTTCCCCCTTAATCTTCTGCTTCTTCGCCCAACATTCTACGTTGTCGCAAAATTTCATGCGATCCTGGCCTCTGATTTCACCAAACCGCATTGACGCATTTGCGACGAGACAGCGATAAAATGTCCGACTACAACAAACAGACTGTCGCGCAGCTTCGACAGCTGCTCAAGGACCGCGGCATTCCTAGCACTGGACTCACGCGGAAAGCGCAGATCGTAGAGAAGTTGGAGGAAGCAGATGGCGCTGGTGCAGAAGCTTCAGATGCGCCAACAGCGAACGAGAATGTCGCAGATGCGCCGCTAGATCCTGTCGGCCCGGTCGAACCAGAGGCAGGACAAGATGCGCAGACAACTCAATCACAAGTCCCGGGGCCTGCACTTTCTGATGCTGGAGGTATGCGTACAATGCTTTCCGTGGTGCACTGGACATTGGCTAATGCGATGGCAGAACCAAAAGAGTACTTGTCGCGAGAGACTGAACCCACAATACTTCCGCCAACCTCAGACCGGCTACCAGAGAACGTATCACACATTGATAGTGATGAGCCACCACCGAACACGATCAAGGCAATGGAACACTCGGCCGAGGACTCGACAAATGCAGAAGAAGCGAGCACCATCCAGCCTGCAGCAGTCTTCAGTGCGCCGCCTGCAGATCCTGAAGATGTTGTGGGACCACGAGTCACTGAACCGGCCGACGAAGAGTCGAAAGTGGAAAAACAAGAAGTCTCCGATCCTGATGAGTTGCCTGATGCGCCTGGACCGGCTGCCGAGGCGCTGCATCTGACGCAGCAGGACTCTGATTTGCCAGAAGAGGTCAAAGATACGGTATTGGAAGACAAGGTCAAGAGCGAGCAGCCGTCGGTTGAGGGATCGGAGCCACTTGCATTGCCAGAGCAGTCAACGCAGACGTCGAGACTAAATACAGAGGAGCTCGAGGCCGATTCGAGAAAACGCAAGCGAAGAAGTGGTTCACCAGATCAGCCTCTGCAAGACATCAAGGCGAAGAAACATCGGCCGATTCAGGATCCAGCGCCAGAGGTCCATCTCAAGGAAGATGACGACGTCGTCATGAGTCAGAGACAGCCTGAAGAAAGTGATGCTGTGACGGGAATAGATGAGCACGCGGACGCCAACCACGATCTGCCAGCAGAGTCCGAGTCCCCAACCACGCATCTGGACACTAAGCGCGAAAAGAAAGAGAACACCTCTCGATACAAGGATCTAGTCAAATCTAACTCAGATGATCGGCCAATTGAGGCTATAACAGACGACAGGCCCACCATTCCTGCCCTCCACCCAGTAACATCTGCCCTCTACATTCGTAACTTTATGCGGCCTCTACGTCCTGAGCCGCTACGCGCCCACCTAATTTCACTTGCCTCCCCACCATCAAGCTCACCGGACTCTTCGATTATCAAATCACTCTTCCTCGACGCGATGAAAACCCACGCCCTTGTCCTCTTCACCAGCACGACCGCTGCATCCCGTGTCCGCGCCTCTCTCCACGGTTCCATCTGGCCACCAGAGGGCAATAGGAAAGAACTCTGGGTTGACTTCATCCCCTCCGACCGCGTAGAAGCCTGGATCAAAGAGGAAGAAGACGCCATCCTCGCGGACAAAGAAGCCCGAGCAAGCGGCCGCTCTGCACCCGCAAAGCGTTTCGAAGTCGTCTACAGCACATCCGAAGACGGCGAAACAACCGCAAATTTCCAAGAAGTAGGCTCTAATGCGCCGGCCAACGCGCCCCGGGGTCCCCGCGCCAGCATTCATGTACATGGCGGCCCGTCTACCTCGCTCCCTACACCCACAACCCTCCCATCTGCAGACCCCACCCGTCCAGACATCACCGCGCCGTTCAAAACCCTAGATGAACTCTTCGCTTCCACAATAGCCAAACCGCAACTCTTCTACCTCCCTGTGTCTGACGAGATTTCCAGTCTCCGCCTCAAGGAACTCGATGCGGAAACAAGTCGGGATTGGGTGCCGGACGAGACGAGAAAGGGGAGAGGTATCAAGATGGAGGTGAAGTATAAGTATAGTTTTGATGAGGAGGATAGGATGGTGGAGGTTGGGGTGGATAGAGGGCCGTGGAGTGAGGGGTATGCTACGCGAGGGGGACGGGGGAGGAGAGGAGGAGGGAGACGGGGTGGTGCTTGGAGGAGTAGAGGGGATACGTGGAGAGGATGAAGTGTTGGTACGGAAAGGTAGCTGAGCGATGGGGTGTGTGGCAACTTTACTGAGAATCTGTGAGTTTATGCGGCCTCTACGACAGGGTGAGGCTACCTGTGGTAGCCTATCTGAAATCAGGGGTCGATCGATATACAAAACCCTCTTCAATTCCCCACTCTTGCTATCAAACAACCCTCGTACTAATATTTACAACATCGTCGACTCCACCCTCCACTGAGTCTTCATCCCGCAGCCATCTTTGCTATTTGCCATGCAATCTATTTCACAGTCACTGGCCGACCCCTGACGCAAAGAAGCCCCCCGACTCGCCCATACTTCCCCACCACCATCATCACAATACCCCGACAAACAACAAACCGGTTTAATTCGTACAACGTTACACATCATACCCCGCAATCATAGACCATAGACTTGCTTAAGAACTACCACGATCCTCCCCACGATGTCCCTCACCACGAAGCTTTGCAATCTCCAGATTCAATTCATCCCAATTCATCCCAATACCCAAACCCAAACCAAACCTAGCACAAACAACCCAAAACAGAAAAATGTCCGGTAACACCAAGGACGGCGGGAAATCCACCCCAATGACCTCCTCGGATGCCTCGAGGATCCAGTCTACCCAGGTAACACCCCCCCCCCCTCAGCTGTGATACCTCAGCTGTGATACCATCACCCAACCCTTCTCTCCCTTGGACTAAATAGAATACAACAACTAACATACACACACCCAGGCTACGGGGGGGAAGGATACATCGTCTGGCAGCTTCGCCTCGCGCGCTCAGAGCGCAGGGGATAAGAATGCCAACACTGGGGGGCAGAAGAAGTGAGGGCTTTGACGACGGTGATTGTAGTTTTTTTTTACAAGAGGTGGTGAGGTAGTGGGGTTTTGGTTTTTATTCTTTTGTGGTGAAGGGGTGATGGATAGGGGTGGACTTACATTCATTTCCTCTTTAGGGTTTTGTGGTGATTGTGGTTTCAACTGGTGTCTCCTGTCTCCTGTGTTTGAGTTGATATAGTCATGAATTATGAAATGAAAGAATGGGTACAAGGCGATTTGAGCGTGTTGATGTGCTGATGGGCTGTGTTTTTGCTTTACGAGGAGAGTTGGTGAGGGAAGAGGTAGAATGTGTGGTTTTATGAGGAGTAAATGGAGTGTCGAGGGTTATGATAGATATTGTGATTTCACGTCCCATGTACCTGAGATCAAGTAGGTCCAAGCTTATGGACCAGGTGTTTAGATACTGCACATGCTGTTCATCGAAATTCAAGTTTCCTGGACGATTTGAACGGTCGGTGTTGGAGATGGGCACATGGCTTCTACCGTATGGCTTTCATCTAGGCGATGAAAACGGTAGCCAATGTTCCGTTCTACGTTGTTCATCACCTAGATCTCGAAGCCTTGAAGACAGAGGCCATTTCCGAGATGGACTCTGCACGGTACCGGTATATTCGTACTCAGTTTTTTGAGATGATGGTCTGATAATCTGCTGTGAACTTTCCATGTGAATATACAGGCGAAGGGTACGACAAGTCCGATGAAATCGCAGTGCATAAAAGCTCTCCATTTCGTACTCTAAACACCACTTTGCAAAATCCACAAGCAGTGGGTATACCGGTACCACACCTCGCAGCTTCATCGGCACCTCCATCCTGGCGTCTTGGCAGCACGCCCCACCGTCCACCCCCATCACTCACAATGACTCACCTCCAGCATCTCCGAGTCGTCCAGCACGACCCCATCTCCCCATCTTGCCGACGCTCAATACACCATGAGCGACGCACGAGGGACTCTGCATGGTCTAAACCAGATGGTTTTCGACGCGAGATGACTCAAATGTGGTAATAACCGGTACGGTAATGGTAGCGGATTCATGATGCGAGGCTGTGCAGGCTGTGCAAGCTATGCAAGCTGGTTTGCAGGGCGGGGCTGGTTAGACGTAAATGTAGATGTACCTAGGAATCCTGATCCTTTGGTTGGAAAAGTACGGGTACATAAAGACTGCGGATGTCCGAGGGATATTGGATGGTTAGAGTGTAGTTTACTATTACCGTACTACTACTACTACTACCTACAGTGTAATTACGCAATTCCTCGACTAGAGTTGTGATATAATTGTCCAGAATGTCGAATCCGGAAAATCCCATTCGCTTCTTCGATATAGCATCGGGGCCCCCAAGGCGAACTTACGCCCCGAATCCGTGGAAAACACGGTAGGTTATTCCCTGTTCTCTACCTCGCACTCAAGGCCGCTTTTTTTTTGGAATTTTTTACTAAACCAACAACTCCCAGATACGCTCTCAACGCCAAACAGCTCGCCTACAAAACCGAATGGGTCGAGCTCCCCGACGTGAAAAAAGTCCGTCAACAACACAATGTCGCGCCGGTGCGCAAAATGCCAGATGGCAGCGACTTCTACACACTACCCATGATCCACGACGGCGCTACGGATACCTACATTGGCGACTCCTTTGACATTGCCGTCTACCTCGACACGCAGTACCCAGATCATGGCCTGCGCCTGTTTCCACCGGCAAGTATAGGCGTGCACCGCGTCTTCAACGCCCACGTCGACGCCCTCTTTACTCGGCACATCAAGATTGCGTCTGCGGGCCTCCCGCTCAACCCGGAGACCGCGGAGCTCACAAAGTCTGATTTTGCGAGCCGGTTTGGGCTCGGGAGCTGGGAGGACTTGGTGGTGCGGGGGGAGGAGCGGGAGAAGATTTTGCAGGCGTTTGAGGCGGACATGGGGGAGTTTGCGACGCTGTATCGGTATGATGACGAGGGGCCGTTTTTGGAGGGGCGGACGGTGTCGTATGCGGATATGGTGGTGGGTGGGTGGTTGGGGATGCTCAAGGAGACGCTGCCGGAGTGGGGGCGAGTGTGTGAGTGGCAGGGTGGGCGGTGGAAGCGTCTTCATGAGGCGTTGGCTCCGTGGGCAGAGATCAAGTGAGATGAGGACGAGGGCGAGGCGAGCCTGTTGAAGTAAAAGTGCGAGTACTGTTTGCTTCTGAGTGGTTCTGTATTAGATATCATGCGTACCATGACATGCATCACATGTGATCTTGATATTTACCTCCGCCAGCGTATGGATGACTCCGAGTCCATAGATGCCCATATATTCCGAACCCACAACAGGGGGAGGGATGAACAATCACCAAGTTTCCTGCCTATATCTCCCCCCCTTCTCCAAGGCAACAAGATACTTCTCCGCGCTGTCTCTGTCCAGTTTCCCATGTTTCTGGAATACTTCGATGAGTGCCTCGCGAACAGCCTGGGGCATCTTGCCCGAGGCACCGCAGATGTACACGATACCATTGTGGGTGGCGAGTGCGTTGTAGACGAGGGCGCTTTGTTGGCGAAGGAGGTCTTGGACGTAGATTTTCTGCCGCTGGGGGTATGTGTTAGTAAAACATGGGAGCGAACAAGGCCATCATCGTCATCAAAGATAGGAGAGGAAATGCAGGACATGGAAAGCGAGAAGGAACATACTTGGTCCCGGGAGAAAGCGGCAAAAACCTGTAGAGGGACGCCGGCAGCGCGCAGGTCGTCCCACTCGTGCTTGAAATAGTAGTCGGCGTCTGCATTTCTGCAGCCGAAGAAGAGCAGGTCCTCGGCTTGCGTGCCTGTAGCTGTTGACGGCTCAGACCTGTTTGTGAGTTGCTTCGCTTGCTCTCGCCAAAGTCTTCGCTGGTAGATTAACGAGCGCATAGGTGCTACCCCTGTGCCTGGACCGACCATGACTACCGGTCTATCTATCTCTGTTTGGGACACACCAAGTCCGCCTTTTGATAATGTGACGGTGATGTCTTGACCAGACTGTAATGAGGCGATGTAGCGAGTCGCAACGCCCTGCCTGATCCTTTTGATGACGGTCTTATACTTTACTATGGCTATCAACAACTCCATTCGTGTCTTGTCTTGCAGAGTGGCTTTTGGATCGTGCGCACTCGCAATGCTGAATTGACGTCCGCGCAAAGTGGGGATGATGCTGCACACGTGCTGCCACGGGATCTTGACACTTTCGAATTCCTGAAGTACCTCGAGAATACTACGGCGAGGTCGAGTGGTGTAGTCGTACAACTCGTCAATATACTCTGGGTTTGTAAACTCCAACAACCTGTCTCGGTGGAAGTCGTCGGAGGTGTAGTGTGCTATTTGTGCAAAGAAGGAGCGGCGGGGTATGGAGATGATGTCGAGATGACTTGTGAGAAGCTCTCGTAACGTGACAGTGCTGTCTTTGGTAACATGAGGTATTGGTAGGGTAGCGTTAGGTGAGGTGAAGGATGAAGACGGCACAAAACGCAAGGGGGTGTCAGCCATGGATGTCCAACCCATTGTCGACAAGAGTAGAGATACATCTGAAGGGAAATTCTTCGGATAGACTGTCAGGACATCACCAGGGCTGTATGGATGTGTACCTGAAAGGTCGAATGTGATGTGACGAACATCTTGCCAGTGCTTCTGCGGCGTGACTCTTTCATTGGATGTCACACGCGCAGTGATACCCCCAGGTATCGTGAGAAGCTCCGAGGATGGAGATTCGTCGTCGGCATTAGTCTCGCCAACTGCTTGAGCAGGATGCGATGGGAGAGTGGGTTTGGCTGGAGAGGCATCTGCGAGGTCGAGCGTCCATTTCGGGTCTAGCAGGACATGGTCTGGTATTGGCTCGACACCGTCTGGGAGAGGATATTCTTGCAGCAAGCGTTGGCGTAGAGTGGAAGACCAAGGAAGGAAGGTACCATCAATGCTTTTTTTTGAGTTTGAAAAGTCAGAACTTGCTACCAAGAGGAGGGACCATGATCAATGAGGCAGAGATCAAGGGGGGCATGGGCCGTACACAGCAACATAGCAAACCTGTTGGCTGTGAGGGGAGAAGGTCACTCACCCTTCTGGATGCTGCTCGTCCGACTCGCCACGGTCACAGATGGGATGAGCGCCCAGCTGTGTCAGTCGGTTGTACAGTTTGCGATGCGCCCAGTTGAATTTGGGGTAGGATGTGTCACCAAGACCAAACGAGGCGAACTTGATCTGGTCGAGACAGCCAGGGCGCAGGCGAGCACTTCGCAGCGCTTTCCAAAACGCCTGGCTATTTGCAGGCAGCTCGCCCTGGCCCGTCGTGGAGATGGCGATGAGGACGACAGGATGGTGCAACAGTTGCTTCTACGCGGCGTCAACTACCACACAACCACTGAACACTACCACACCACACCACACCACACCACACGATCACACAACCAGGACATGGTCGTGTGTGGGCCAAACAGGTGAACCAAGCCAAACCTACAAGCGTGATGGCATTCAGGGCTGCGACTTCGGTATGGAAGCGAAGACGTTCAGCGATCCTGCCCATTTCTTCAGCCACATCTTGGGCACTTCCCGTTTCGGAACCATAGAGCACCAGGGCGGACCGTGCTTGCAGCATACTCGCCATGGATCAAATCAATCTTTTTCAACATGCACAAACGCGAAGGGCTGGGCCAGTCAGCGGAGACGACTCAAAGAGGGGGGGGGAGGAGGGGCGGGGAACTGAATTTGCGCAGTTGGCAGCCGCCCCCCGGACAGTCACCGCCGAAGAGAAGAAAAGCGGTGCACTAGCGGACACGTCAACGGCAAGCGGGTCTCTGGTGGTTGAGGCTCTTAGCGGCCGGTGGGTGGGTTGTGTGAGGTGTGGCGCTCTCGCTTGTCCTCTACCATGTACTTGCAATACTAGGGGCTGTATGATGCCTCACTTGGCAATTTGCTTGAACTCCCACAACGCTGTGATGATGATGATGATGATAATAATAATAATAGTCATAGTCATGTGTTCTCAGCAGCAGGCGGGGATACCGTTATATGTACCATGACATGTACACCATGTACTGTACGTACTGTGACGTTGTATGTTCGCTTCCATGTTATCAGTGTTGGTGCTGGTACACAACACAGTGACGGTACTTCAATATGGTGTAATGAAACAATGCTCGTCACCTGACAAAGACAGCATTACTTGCAAAGTACACAGTACTACTAATGGAAGGCGCCACTCACTCAAACAATCAATCGCCCCTTCCCCCTTCCCCCTTCCCCCTTTGCAACAGGGCTGCTGCTGCCTCGTTAGGCGGGGTGGGGCCTGCATTCCTGACCGGGGCCGCTTCGTTTACCATTTCCGGACTAGTCTAGGCGGTGTGCAGGTCAAAATATCTGTCCGAGCAACCGACAACCGCTCCCTTTCCTCTCCATCAAGTCAACCAGCAGAGACAATCACCACTCCCAAGAAACCCCCCCAATTCTCCCCCCAACCTTCTCCGGGCTCGTAGCTTCCCACTCTCACCCCCCTCGTCAACCCGTTCCACCTCCCAGGCGGTTTTCCCCTCAACCACAGCAACTGTTTCAGGTCACCTTCACCGGTCTACCAGGACTCCCAAGTTTCCTCAACCCTTCCTTGCACTTTACTCGTGTTCCTCAACCCATCAAACTTCAACCATCATGTCCGCACCCATCGACAGTGCCACCGCCCAGCTGGCCAACACCTCCCTCGACAACACCACCGCTCCCACCACCGAGAGCACTGGCGCCCAGCAGCCCACCGCAGCCGAGGACGAGGCTGTCCGTGCTTCTGCCGCCGAGGGCAGGCGACTTTATATTGGAAACCTCGCGTACGCGACCACCGAGGGGGAGTTGAAGGATTTCTTCAAGGACTACCTGGTGTAAGTGGCAGAGGTGGCCTCGCCCGGCCTGCACGACGTATCACCTTCCCGCCTCCCCCCAACTAACACGATTTACACAGCGAGTCCACGACCATCCCCACCAACCCCCGCACTTCGCGCCCTGTTGGCTACGCCTTCGTCGCGCTCTCGACCCCCTCTGAGGCTGAGCGTGCCATCGCAGAGCTCAACGGCAAGGCCATTCTCGACCGCAAGGTCTCCATTCAGCTTGCCCGTACTCCTGAGGCTCACGCCGAAGGTGCTGGCAGCGGTGCCGAGGGCAACAACGCCGAACACCGTCGTCGCAACTCTACCCGTGGACGCGGTCGTGGCCGTGGTCGTGGTGGCCGCGCTGGACGTGGAGGACGTGCTGTAAGCCATTCCTTAGCCATCGCCCAATTCTGCGCATACTAATTGCTTTCATCAGGCCGAAGGCGCCGATGGTGCCGAGCAGGTAGAGCTCTCCAACGAGGCCCCTGCGGACTCTACCCCCACAAATGTACCCGGCCAAGTTGCTCCCCTAACCGAAACTACGAACGAAGCGCTTACGTCGAAGAAGGGTGACAAGAAGGACGCCGCTCCCCGTGAGCCTCGTGAGCGCAAGCAGCGTGGTCCTCCCGAGGATGGTGTCGCCTCCAAGACCAAGGTCATGGTCGCCAACCTTCCTTATGACCTGAAGGAGGATAGGGTAGGACTCCCCCGATGTAATCTTGCCATGCCTGTTCTAACCAGTCCCAGCTCCTCGAAATTTTCAAGGATTACTCCCCCACCCAGGCCAAGATCGCCCTCCGCCCTATCCCCCGTTTCATGGTCAAGAAGCTCCAAGCTCGCGGTGAGCCCCGCAAGGGCCGTGGCTTCGGTTTCGTCACCCTCGGTTCTGAAGAGCTCCAGCAAAAGGCTTGCGCCGAGATGAACGGCAAGGAGATTGAGGGCCGTGAGATCGCCGTTAAGGTCGCGATCGACTCCCCCGGCAAGGAGGATGATCACGTCGAGGCTGCCGAGGGCGATGCTGCTCCCAAGGAGGCTGCTGCTGCCACCGAGTCCACCGACAAGCCGGCCGAGACCCCAGCTGCTACCACCACTGCTTAGGTAGCTGCTGCTGCCTAGACGCGTTCCAAACCCAAATCAATTCGCGTCAGACATTGTATGCGCTGTGGTTTTGTGTATCGAAGTCTCGGCTGTATCGACATCTACCATGTCTACCATGATAGAGTCATATAGCCCACGGCCTCAACATCTTAGTTCGTCTTAGTTAGCGGGTATCTTCGGAAAAGTGGAATTCGGAATCTTATCTGGTATAATTCAGGGTGGGCTTCTGTCCCGTTTCACGATTAACGAACAACTTGCTTCAGCTAGGTCGAGCAGAGAATATCAAAGCAAACATGCCTTGATCCACGTTGGATCATGCAACGTCACTTGTTGTCCCTACTTGTTATGTGATGTGTGTTTTTGTTGATGTATAAATTGGAGCTGAGCTGAGAATGGCCTGTCCCCTGCTAATGCGCAACCTGTCCAAGGGCTTTTACACTGATGAAGTTGTTGCGGCACTGGTATTCCTCAGCCATGTCCAAACACAAGGTTGATGCCATAGCCATCGCTATCCCCAGTCTTTCAGCTTAACCCTTGATATCCCAACATATCCACCATCGAACCACCTGACCGTTCATCACATACTCGCCCAGCGAAAAGAGATGCAGCAAAGTTGTCACTAGGCAGACACATAGACGGCAAAGAACCGAGTTATCCCAACCCCATCAATTGCCAACCTTGAAATAAAAATTCCCGTACCACTAACCATCTGGTCGAGAAACGTCATCAATCTATCCCTGCCCAAGAAAAAAAAATGAACAAAAAAAATGAGAGAACCCATCCTTCATTATCCCCACCTAGATGAACTGGCGAGAAAACAAAGTCCCCTTTTTGGTTGGCATCATTCGCAAGAAACCCAAGCTCGCACGATTGCAAGTCCACAAACGGGACACGACCCCGTTGATAATTATCCCCAGGGGCCCTGGGAAATCAAGAATCCATCATGCGCGCGAGACCCAACACAGAAAAAAAAAAGAACCCCCCCTCCTTCCCCGGAGCCAACAATACGCCTTGGACGCCATTGATGCAAGCAAGGCCAAACGCGCCATGGAGAAGGTCAAGCTCAGTGAGCATGGGCGTGTCCTATTTGTGTGACGAGGGGTAAAAGCATGCCGAGCATGACAATGGCAATGTCGGATTTGGATAGGCGGTTGGTGCCGGGGTAGGCGTCCATGTAGCCGTTTGCGGTTGGGTCTTCGTGGGCGTGGGAGGAGGTTGCTTGGGACATGGAGTGCATGGCTACGTATCTGTGGGGTGGGTTAGTGGATGGGGATAAGGATGTGAGTGTGGATGTGGATTTGGGTGTGAAGTCAAGGGCAGGACAAGACAAGACGGCAATTGGTGTGGTGACTTACAAAAACGTTCCTCCTGAGAAACAGAGTACCCAGCCGGTGGTCCAGGTGAGGCCTTCGTCGCCGCCGAGCCTGTTGCGTCCGAACATGTGTACAATGGCCCATGTGGCTAGAGCGCCGGCTGGGGCGGCCAGGCTGAAGAGGGCGAGATGCGTGCGCGCTGTTCGTTTCGAGAGGCCTTGTTTGAGGAGGACGGAGGTTAGTCCAAAGGCTGCGGGTGCCTTGTGGAGCATGATTGCGAAGAAGATGACCATGGATAAGGAGGTGGAAGGGGCGGTTGAAGAGGCGCCCAGTGCGATGCCGTCTGCGCAAGCGTGCACAATTAGGCCAATGGTTGCAGCGGGTGTTTTCTTCGATGCCGACGGAGGCAGGCCTGGCGTCTGTAGTGGCGTGACCGCAGCGCTGTCCGTGGCCATCCCGTTCAGACTCAGATGCGAGCTGTTGTGTGGGCCTCTAGCGAGGTTGGAAAGCGAAATGTGCATGGCCTGGTACTTTGGTCTTGTAGAAGACATGGTTTCTGGCAGGTGATCGACGAGGAACATGAGCATGTAGCCCAGAATCAATGCGACTCCAATGTATGCATGCGGGCCCGATCTGTCGTCATGTCCCTCCAGACCATGCCCATTCTTCATTTCTTCGTCTTCTGGCGCATGCACGCGTGTGTGGCCCTCCTTGTGACCTTCTGTAGAGTCGTCGTCGCCGCCCTTTTGTGGGTGTTCGTCCTCGGCGTTTCCCTTCTCCTTTTCCTTGCTCTCCTTCGTCTTCTTCAGCTGAATCTCCACCAATTCCTTGTCCGTGGGCTGGCCCCGGGCTGCTATTTTGATTGCTCTGTCAATCATAGAATCTATATTCTCAGACTCTTGCCTTTTCCACGTTGGAATCTTGGCCGCTGGCTTGTTACCTGTGTGCGGCTCCGACACAGATGGGACAATAGGTTGTGTGCTCCTGGCACTGTGTAGACGGCTTGCAGCTCCTGCACTGTACATGGTTTCAATGCCCTCTGGTATGATGACTATCAGCGAAGTCCCCACTAGTACCCCCGTACCGAGCAGTGTGATGATCCGTAGCTGGCGCGAGGAGAGATTAAAGGAGAGTGGGAGGATGCCGGCGAGAAAGGAGCTGTCTCGGTCAGCCCATGGCCATATCAAAAAGATGTGTGAGAAAAGGAAAGACATACGCAATAGCCATTATTGCGCTCAAGGCGAGCAGCATAAAAAGTCCGTCCCACATGGTGTTTGGTGTGTATGGCGTATGGCGGCTTTCAACTGCCGAAGAAAAAGGTACGCCTGGTATGCAAAACGAATGAAAGGGTACAGTGTCCTCAGTCTGAAAAGTCCATGCCTCAATTACCTGGTGAGTAAGGGGCAGGAACGAGTGAATGGGAGGTGGAGGTGGTGGAAAGGCGGTGTTGAAACGTTGTCGGGAGTCCGTTACTTTCCCTTGACCAGCCCAAAGTCTTGCCTGCCTTGTTCGTTGCAGGGGTTGTAGGGCTGAGCTAACGTCAGGAGTTTAGCACCTAGATAGACGCGTGCGGACGTCGCGCTACCTGACAGATCTACAATAGGTATCCTTTCGCAACGCGCCGCGCGCTACTCTAAGCCGTCCGTGAATTTCAATACTAGAGGTCGATCCATACACCACACTCTGCCTGCAAAGGGTATTCTAACCATGGAATTCGATTTGGAAGAGTGTACGTACTACCCTATCATATGCTGCTACTACCACTATCGCGACGCTTGGTGTGTTGCGGCGGGGGAAACCACTTTGTACTAATCCACTTGTAGGGGTGACCAACTCAAACGAGTGCTTCTTCCTCAATCTATACCGCTCTGTGGATGGCGATGGTGAGCCTAAACGTGTGCTCGATTCCTTCAATCCCACCTGCACATACACCGTCATCGACGAACAAGAGACCATCGCCGGCTATAAGAACCCTCGAATCGAGCTCGACTTTCGTGCAAACGACCTCAAGCCGAAGCTGAAGATTCAATTTGATGCGCAATTAGATCTCAAGAAGATCTCGCCAGAACTCACCCAAGTCGACCTCTCACCAGACTTGTTTCGCGAACATCTGCCAGCGGCGACTAACGATGCGACCGAACCTACCTCGAAAGAATGGAAGCCGCCTGGCGAGTGTCTGAAGAGCTTCACCCTGCACGGAAAACAGTACGAGATCTGGAAGGCGTCCATGGCCGATGATGCCGCGAGACAAATATGGACCAACATGAAAATCCTTGTGCTCTTGTTCATCGAAGGCGCGACAACCGAAGGTCTCGATGATGAAGAGACATTCGATCGGTGGTCCTTATATCTCCTGTACGAAGTCACGCCCATACAAGACGCGGCCCATTCTCCATACACTCTTGCTGGCTTCTCGACTTCGTATCGCTCCTGGATTTTCCCCACCTTCGACATCATGCGCGCGACCAAACAACTTCCCTCTCCACCACCAGAATCTGCAAATGGCGATAAAAAATACACACCTCCTCGCCTCACACAGGATCCCACCACGTTCCTCTTCAACGAGAAGATCAATCATCTCGAGACGCCATCAAGAGAGCGTATTTCGCAGTTCTTGGTCCTAACTCCATACCAAGGCCAGTCCTTAGGCAGCAGGCTGTACGAAACTATCTTCCAAGATCTCCTCGCCAAGCCCTTCATCTACGAGATTCCTGTCGAGGATCCAAGCGAGGCATTCGATGCCATGCGCGACTATAGCGATATCGCGTACCTCCGCACACTTCCTGCTTTCCAGTCCCTATCGGTTGCGTCAAATCTGACACCAGAAGCACTCCGGAAAGATGCTCCTATCCCACGTGACCAGATTCTAGGCAACGGCACTGATCTCGAAGAGCTTCGTCTCCAAACCAAGATCGTCTCCCGCCAGTTCTACAGGATGGTCGAGTTACACCTCCTCTCCACCATCCCACAGAACCATCGCAACCGTGCACGTATCACGCGCAAGGCCAAATCTAGTAATGAGAATGATAGGAAATACTACTTTTGGCGTCTAGCGCTTAAGCATCGCATCTATAGCCAGAATGCAGATGCGTTAGATCAAATGGAGGTGACAGAGAAGGTCGACAAGATCGAATCGGCGGTCGACAGTCAGCAGGAGGAGTTCGAGGAGCGGTTGGAGGGTATCGAGAAGAGGCTAGAATGGATGGCAGAGGAAGGTTCATCATCAAATGGGGCGAGAAGCAAGGGCAAGCGGCGGAGAGCAGTAGTTGAAGATGAGGAGGACGAGTGGGAGGACATGGATGTCGCGTCTGTTAGTTCTAAGCGGGCGCGAGCTTGAAACACCCAGTCGCAGTTCAATCGCCCTATTCTATCTGCGAAGTTAAACAATCTTTGCGGACAAAGTCTACGGCCTTTAGAAAGTGGCTTGCGAGTCACTGAAATTGGCGAGGTCAACTACTTCGACTGTTGAATGTTATCTCTATGAAAGAAATGGCCCATACACCACACACCATGATTGAGCCTTAAGTCCGTCATTGCGGGGTTAACAACTACCCCACGCCCCAAAATTTGGGAACCCCAACATCACGCCGCAACCTGGCTAAGAACATTCCGCGTTCCAGCAACCACACACAATGACAGACCGGAAATACAATCTTACCGTCCTGATCTCAGGTAATGGTTCGAATCTCCAAGCCTTGATAGACGCATGTGCATCCGGCGCATTGCCCAATACGCGCATAACCCATGTAATATCAAAGTACGTCGCGCAAACAACAGCCTCCCACATTTTTACGAAAAGGAGCCGCCTCTTATGTGTACACAACTAACATTCATCCCTCCCAGTCGTAAAGCAGCCTACGGTCTCGAACGTGCCGCCAAAGCCTCAATACCAACAACCTACCACAACCTCGTACCCTACAAAAACCAGCACCCATCCAACATTGAACTCGCACGCTCCGAATACGACGCCGACCTCGCGAAGATAATTCTCTCCTCAGAGCCTCACCCCGATCTTATAGTCTGTGCAGGCTGGATGCACATCGTAACGCCGTCTTTTCTGAACCCAATCGCTGCCGCGGGCATCAAGATCATTAATCTCCATCCTGCGCTGCCCGGCGAGTTTGCGGGCGCAGGTGCAATTGAGCGGGCGTGGAAGGCGGGGAGGGAAGAGGGGTTGAAACGCACGGGCGTTATGATTCATGAGGTTATTGCGGAGGTGGATGCTGGGGAGGCAATTGTAACAGAGGAGGTTGAGTTGAGAGAGGGGGAGGGGCTGGAGGGGCTGGAAGAGAGGATACATGGGGTTGAGCATGGTTTGATCGTTGAGGGCGTAAGGCGGACGTTAGGGTTAGGAATGGCAGAGTAAAAGGGAGTTTTTGGAGAGGGTGGAGAGGGGACAGTAGCGATTATATCCCATGATGCAAACATTTATGTCTTTGTTGAGAATCAACAAAATGATTGGGTGGCGTGCAGCATACAGTGTTCTCGGTCGAATGGAAAATTCTACCCGCCGCCTTTCTCCATCATTTGGTACCGCAATGGCATTGCAAGAAACTGCAGGGTCTCCGATATGCCTTGGGATATTGACGAAATTGATCGATAGAGGTTAGAATGAGCCACACAGCCAGACTCCCATATTTTCTCTGTTTTCGGAAATAAGGTCTCTATCTCGTCTCACAAGTTATCTGGTCTCGGGTACCTGGGCACCAGTGTCCACTGTGCCTGGTATAATTATATACAGTATGGCTGTGTCTAGAATGACTGTATCCAGGATGATTATCCAGACTCCGGAACAGTAGAACGGCGAAGGGACAAGTCCTCTGATCTGAACATTCGGCGATCACCTCGTCAATACAAAAAATCCTCCCTTTCACCGTATCTAGCAAATCCAAGACGAAAATGCTGCAAGCTCAAATCCAATCTGGCTTTCCCCGACGCGACTAGCTTTTGTTGTGTGGGCTCATGTCAAATGCTTGCTCACGAGCTCATACCTGATGAGTGTCCGACCTCTGTGTATTGTCATGCCGCTGTGGTATGAGTCTTGCTCCCCATATAAATCACACTACCACCTCGAAACTTGTAAAGCATGTCTCTCCACGAATTTCCTTAAACTTCTAAGCCATCCGTGAAGACTTTATATAAGAACAAGAAACTGGTAAAGAGAATAGCACGATACTCGATCTTATCAATCTTCATAACCAGATACAATTCTCAAGCCGAGCCCAACCAAGAACCCTGTAATCATCTGTATACTTCAAAAGGTTTAGGTAAGAACTATTTATAACGGAAAGCTCCCACGCGTTTGGTGTTAACATTGGACAGATATAACAAGCAGCACGATGGGCTCAGATAAACGCAAGTCAAATATGCCTTCAGTTGAACTCCTTGATTCATATGATAACACATTGCCAATGCCTGGAAATCCTGTTTTAGGAAAAAAAGGCCAGTATTGGCATGGGCTTCAAGTGTTTCCGGGGACTGCATCTTGGCCAGCGGTACAAGGTGGAACATACGAGTAGCCTGCAGCGCTAAGTAGAACGAGCGAATGTATAGCAGGATCAAGCCGAACGTATGAACCGCCGGAATGATCAAGTGGAACGAAACGGCCTACAGAATCTCCTACTCCTCTCGAGTCGGACAAAGGCGAGAGAAGGGCCGTCGCAGAAGGCTACAGAGAGCAGCCGGTAAGTATTACTGGTCTGACAGATCAAATCTAGTCTCCAAGATCTAGCATACTGTTGATCAAAATCACAGTTAAACAACGCTTCTCAAAGTTCGTCTGCGGCACCGAATACAACTACAGGGTCAACTCAGGTCGCTCCAATGCATGCTGGATACGATTATGAACACACGGACTCAAGCACGTTTACCCACCCTAGAATCAAACGAGTGCAGATGTACGACAGTAAGGGTAAAGAGAGGGCTGGGACACCATCCTCTTTGACACCCGAATACGAACATAAATCGCCAACGAATCCCCTGGGCTCCAATGATGATTTATACAGTAATTACTAGGGGCTTGAACTGCAATCTCGCCTTGCACGATTTGTTACTATGTGGAGATTGAGATTTCACATTGGAGGTAGGGTATATCAGGGCCGTAGGTACATGAGCGGTTTGAACGGTGCTATATGATGCGAGACAGGACTAATTTAGAATTGGGAAGGAAGTATAGGTTTTATATTTGTACATTGGGAACATATGTAGAATTTAGCTCCATTCTTCTGAAACAAATCGGGGACGTTGTTCTTCTATCTTGAGACTGATTATATCTGCGTAGAATATTGGACAAGGCATCATAAGACATAGTAAATACCGCCGCCACAATTCCTCGTATGTCAGACCATTACATAGTCTCTGTATCTGCTGAAGATTTACTTAGCTATTCTAAATTACAATCTTCAGCACACGTAAAACGCAGCTGGTGACAGATCTGCCAATTTCTCAAGATCTCAGAATGATTGCGTTCGTTATCATGAGCATTCCTCTGTGCCGGGTTGATATTAATAAGTCTGAGAATTTAATATATACATTTACGTTAGTTTTCTATCAGCTGTATGACCATGCCAACGGTAGACTGAAAAAAATATTGAAAGCCTTACGACAAAAAATGCCCCCTTGAAATGTTAAACTATTTATAACTATAATGGCATATTCGCTGGAGCAAGTACAACAACGATGAGCGAAGAGGATTGAGGAAACAGTCTGTATTTTCGTCCTTTACCTTAATAGAACTCTCTCACGGAGTCTGACAAGGGGATCTCTCCAAGTAAGCTGAATGATGCTATTGGTGACCAAGGACTCAGTGAAGCAATGTGATGAGGTAGGCAAGGATCTGCTAAAAATAAACACATTTGAAAGAATCTATAGAAGAGAAAGGATGATACGTTTATCTCACATCATTGAGGAACTGTGCATCCTTTTCCAAGCTATCGTACACGCTCTCCGTCCCCCCATATTTATTCCGCAGATAAACACTCCTAAACCTTCCAACCCTCTCATCGGCTTCTTTAAAAACCAACTCGCTCGGATCATGGATCTCAATTTTCTTTTCCACGTGTACACCCGCATCTTCAGCATGCATATTAACAAGGCCTGGAATTGCCATTGTATGCTGCATACGTTCTCGTACAGGTGAACTGTCGGGTGAGTGGAAGATGAAGTACAGGAGCGAAGAGACTGTATGGCGATAGAATGTGAAGCTTGGGTTGGATGTGGGAAGCAGATTGGCGACATCTTCCGCTGTGATGTCGGTGATGTTGAAGGAAATGGCGATGTGGGCTGAGTGGCAATGGCGATGTAGGCTGGGTAGCAATGGTGAAATCCCGGTGTTTATACCCGGTTTGGGACTAGCGTTAACGCGTCATCACGCGTATATAGTCTTATCCTCTCCCCTTATGGGCAACAACAACCTTTTTCCACATTTTCAATTCTCATAACTATAGGTGAAGGCAGAGATGAGCACAAGATGCTCGGTCTTGGCCTCTACTTTCTGAATTTTGTTAATATCATGCAATATATGTGGATGAAGCGTAGTACCAATTGTACAAAACTACGAGGTGTAGACAGGGTATCAAGGGCCTCCATAGCGTCCGCCGAGATCTTATTCTTCATACGTCGATCGCAAGCGCGGCACTTGCTTCTTCTGTATCCTATATCTTGAACCCCAGGACCTGTATCCTGAAGCTTTTCCTGCACACATGTTGTGTCACAAGGGACAACTTGGTTGTCGATGTGCTCCTCTCGCTCCTCCCATGTGCGTGCGTACGCAACCTCACTAATTTCTTTGCAGATCAACGACTGCGCGAAATACCTCTCCCCAAGTTGACGCAAAAATTCATGTCGGTTGTCGAGCAAGAAACGTCGTTGAGTTTCTGGCGCAAGATAGGGTACAAATGTAATCGCGATGAACGTATCGTTACGGCGCAGGAAGATGTATGATGCGACGCGCGGGTCAAGATGGACTTCCAGAGCGTTAAGATTGGTCTGGAACGAGGATCTTTGCTTTGAAAAGGGTATGTGAACCGTTGGCTTAAGGTCACGGCCCGTGGATGAGAGTAGCAAAGCAAACATGGACTCTTCGTTCAGAAAAGTATCGTAATCGTTCCTGACTGTCAGATCCAGTTCTAGGGCTACTTGTAGTTTTTAGCAAATAGTTTGATTGCGATAGTGACATCTTACTAGACAGTTCCTTCTCCATCATTGATCGCGCCAGTGAATGCTGTTAGGGACTAAGTCAGTGCAAATGCGGATCTTGATTGATCAGGGGAGTTGGCGCAAAAGAAGATGCGACTGCCTGTTCTCCTCGTGAGGAAGACGAAATCGTTGGAAACGGGCAGAAACGATCTATTTCAAGGATCAGATGAGCAATCGTTGTTGGCTATAAGAGTGGTGGCATGTCATATGACCATGGGTTTAGCGTCGGGCGACTTGGGCTTTACTCCAAGTGGTTAGAATATCCCTGTAGGTTCAAGTCTATATCACAGCGGCAAATTTTTATAGTTATATAAACTAGCCTATAGTTAAGTATAAATTAGGGTAATTTAAGCAAGTAAATATAGTTTTTATTACTATCTTTTTTAAATATATTCTAAACCTATTCTTAATAATATATAGGCATTCCTAAATACTATACTAGAGTTTAGTATAGTAGTACTAGATAATATATCTAAACTAGATAGTAATATTAGAGATAAATTTAGGTAACTATATAAAGTGCTAGAGGAGGATAGTAGTAGTAGCGTTAAGGAAGTAAATAAAAGTAAATAGAATAAGTTTAGAATAGGTTTATAATATATTATAGGGGTATAATATATACCTTACTTATAGTAATAGTTAAGGACTACTACTTATACTAGTAATTATTAAGCATACAGCTATTCTCCTAGTATACCCTTAATTATATAGCTAAGGGTATAGGTATATAATACTAGTTTAGTAATATAAAGATAGCTCTTACCTAATAAGAGAAGAGGTGCTTATACAGGCTATATAGGTAACACGTTAAGAACATGTTCTTAAATTATTCTAATTCTAGTAGGTATAATACTCCTGCTAGTCTATCTATCTTAATAGGCCTATAACTTTACTATTCTTTAATAGCTAGCTAGCAAGCTAGTATAAATACTAATACTCTAGGGTAAAAGCGTGTAAGTATCTTAAGAATATATTATAAACGTATTCTTATTATATTATTAATAATATATTATATAATTAGATCTAAACCTTAAAAAGTATAGTACCTAAGAAAATTCTATAAAGAGAACTATAAATAAGAAGCTATTATTATAGCCTTATTAAGCGCTTCTCTTTAAGGATTTATAAGGACTACTAGGTGTCTTATTATCCTATAATAAGGACTATAGTAAATTAGGTAGGGAGTAAAACTTAAATATATTTAAAACGTGTTAATAATAAGTTAGTAAATTATAGAATAGGCTTAACTATATATTAGCTATTAGAACTATAGCCTAATATCTGCTACTAGGAAAAAATATTATTTTAGTTAGGTACTACTAGAGGTAGACTCTATATATCTATAAGGTCTTCTAACTAGAGAGATATTAAATCTTTCTAGTAGTCCTACTTTATATTCTATAGTTAAGCTATAGTTAAGCTAGATAAAGAAGTGTAGTAGGTATATTATAACCTATTCCTAATATATTCCTAATATATTCTAGGCGTTAATTATCTATAAGGGCAAGGATCTCTATTTAAAATCCTATATAAAGTTACCTTCTAAGTAATTATACTAATAGATATAGTAGCAATACCTTTTTTTACTATTATTTCTTTTAGTATATATATATATATACCTCCTCCTCCCTTAACACTATCTAATAGTAATATTAAGGAAGTAGTAAAGGTATTATAGCCTATACTTACTCTACAGCTTATATAATATAAGTTATTTATAACCTGTTATAAATATATTCCTAACTTATTATAGCCTAGTTCCTAAACTTAACCTAGCTCTAAACCTATCTCTAACTTAAAGGTTTCTATTCTATTAAAGAAATATATATTAGCTTTATAAATAAAGATAAAATCTTGCGTATTATAAAGCGTGAAAAGCTTCTATAGTTCCTATTTAAGAGTAGCCTTAGAGGAGTACACTATAAGTAAAGGATAAAGTATTAGGATCCTAAAACTATACGTGGTGTAAGAGAACAGGTTTAGAACATGTTACTAACACGTTACTATAGGTGTATATATAGCAAATCTTTATATTAAGCTTAGGTAACTTAATTATTTACCTTTTTAAAGAGTAGGTATTAATTCTATTAGATTAAGATATATTCTAGATAGATATATTATATAAGAGGTTATATAGAGCATAGGTAGAGATTCTAATAGTAATCTTCTACCTATAGGAAAAGAAGCGTACATATTAAGAATAGGTTTGTAACACGTTTCTAACACGTTATAGTTATTACACTTAGCTAAATTATTATAGATAAGGATATAACTAAGATATATTAAGTTACTATTACTAACTTCTTTTAGAAGTATAAAGCACTTATAAAAAGATAAGTATTATAGAGGTATATTTACTTATAGGGATTCTATAGGACTACTATTAATATATATAACAAGTAGATAATAGGTAAGTTTTATAGCGCACTACAACCTGTTTATAACGTGTTTCTAACTTGTTTCTAGGACTTAGGCGCTATCTCTAGTTAATTAATCCCTATAAGCGTAACTAGCGCTAGCAACTTTAATCTTGTATAAGATTTTATTAAGTATATCTATAAAGAAGTATTTACAAAGCATGTAAAAGAGAGCTAGATAATACTACCTCTTTATATCTAAGTAAATTACTATAGGTATTAATAGTAGAGGAATACTTTTAGCTTACTAACCTCCTCTTATATAAGTAAATATATTCTAAACCTGTTCTAAATATATTCCTAACTTATTCTTATATAATTAGAACACAAACCCTCTAAAGATACCTAAAACTAGGTAATCTATAAGAAAAACCTAGTAATTGCTACTAGGATTGTGTAATACTATAGTAAAATATTAAAAGAGGTATAGGAAAAACTAGAATCTTATTTAAATGCAGCTAAGCAAGCAGGCTAGAAAGGATATAAAACTAGTAAGCATGTAAGTATTCTTAAGGCTACTTAGAAGTAAGTTTATAACCTATTCTTAACCTATTAGAATTGTATAAGTAATATTGTGTAGTGCACACTAGATAGATCTATAGGATATAAAAGAGTTTAAAGCCTAGAGCAAGTTTAGAATATACTATAACTATAGAACTCCTAATAGGCTTAAGTAAAGGTACCTTAAAAAGCTTTAGAGGGGAGAAAGTAAGTCTTACGCTAGCGTTATATATATTTGCTAATTAAAATATATTTAGAATATATTTAGAACGCGTCCTATAATAATAATAACACTCTAGATAATAATAAAGCAAGTCTTACTATATCTAACTTAACTAGATATATCTTAGTCCTAATAAGAAATAAAAGAGCACGCTTAAAAGCCTAAAGCTAGAGGGCAAGTAGTAGAGTAGTGTGAAGGGCTTAGGCTTATGCCCAAGCCTTAGTCTAACACAAGACAGACCAAGTCTAACACTACTACTAAGCGAACACACTAGACACCTATAAAAAGGCGTAGAGGGCTTATCTCTCCTTTAAGATACTAAATACTATTATTAACGCTTATTGTATTCTCCCTTAAGGCTAGTCTATAATATTTTAGTATCTTCTTCTAATTATACTATAATAGTAATAAGAGATAGACGTGCTAGATATTTAGAATAACTAGGTATAACCTAATATAGTAGAAAGGCTAATATAGCAGGTCTATAGATTAATAGAATAATAGGCTTAAGACTCTACTATAATAGCTGTACTACGTTAATAGAATAAGGAAATACGCAATTAGATTCTATCCTAACCCTCCTCTAAGCCCACTAGGTTTAAGGACATGCTACCTCCGCCTGCTCCTGCCTTACGCTGCAAACCTTTCCTAGTTAGCTTGCTATATAATAGCACTAAGGTAAACTTCTCCTCCTAGTAAATAACTATAGAGTTTAAACTACGTGCAGATAAGGTCTTTATTAGGGATAAGGAGGCAAGGTTTATATATATTTAGTCCTAGTTATTACCTATAGTCTAGCGTGCTATAGTACTATACTTTAAGGATAGTACACGCAAGCGTTAGGATATAAGCAGGTTTCTTAACTACCTAGTGTTCTACTATAGCAACTATTATAGGCAGGAGCGCGCCTAAGTTATATTAGAATACTTATATTAGGGCTAAAATTAGCCTTTTATAGAATTCTTTATAAATTTTATATAGCTTCTTATATAGTTAGGAGGTTTATACTAGGATAATAAATAGAAGCTTTTATAACTTTAGTAATCTCTTAATAGTTATATGCGCTTAGTTTCCCTTAATAGGGGAGTCTCTAGGATAAACTATAACGTAGCTATAGAGGAATATAAGATAATTATAGTAGACATTAAAATAGCCTCTCTAGAACTAGGTTTTCTTTAGGCTAGTAAGTCTAAGGAACCCTAGTAGAAGTCTAACTTAGATTAGGATAGCAACACAAATATAGTAGAAGTAGTAGCCTTATTAAGTGCACCTACTAAACTGCTAATATTACGTCCTAACTAGATCCTACAGGACCTATTTAATACACAGAAATTAGCAAAGGTCTATACCTAGTATAGATAGGGCAGTTATTTTATACGTGCATGCCCTAATACCCTATTGCTATAACTAGTAGGTATTAAGATAGTTGCAGTATTAGCAAGCGGCCCTAATTTAGGAAACTAGCTGCCCCTAACCTTAGGCTAAGTTAGGGGTATAAGGAGGACACTATAATAGAGGAATTATTAATAGTAGAGGCTATTAAGTATCCCCTAGATATTAAGGCTAGGTTAAATAATCCTCCTTTCTTTATTCCCCTCCTCCTAGGTAGAGTAGAGAACGTGCAAGTAATAGTTAATTTAAGGTGCTAGTGTTTTAGTGCAGTTAAGGAAAAGTTAGCAAGATAGATTAGTAGGAACTTTATTAACATTCCCCCGCGACCTTTATAATATGCCTAGGGAATTACTAAGGGCATAAGAATTTTATAGTTAGTAGTATTAGACTATAATTTAGATAGTTAGTAGTCTTAGCTTTTAGCTTATATAGTACCTAGTCTCTCCTATTAACTAATACTAGGTAGACTAT